CGTCAGCGATTGGTTTCTCCTGAGGCAGGGACTTCCAAAACTAAAGAAGAGGATGGTCTAACGGATTATTCGGAAGCATGTGCAGATATGGATACGGACTCTCGTAAGGCTCTAAAGCGAACCCGACCTCTTCCACCAAAAAGTTCTTCGCATGATTCGAAATCAAAAAAGTATCTGTCCAAAAAAGAATTCTTCGAGAACCTGTCTGAGAAAGACATTTTGCGAAACATTTTGGACCAAGCAGTTTCTGCTACGGTCCTGTCATCAAAATAGGTTCACTAACCATATTACAATGGAATTGTAGATCAATTGTTTCTGCAGCCACAGAACTATCATACCTTTCTTCACAACTTTTACCGGATAATATATTACTGCAACAAACCTTGCGTTCAACCGGCTAGAGTTTTCACCTAAAAAGGTATCAACTCTTTCGATTTTACCGACCTTGTAGAGGTGGTGGACTTGCTGTTTTCCAAGCAACTAAGTTTAGTTACAAAGCTAAAATCTCTTATCGGTGTATGGCTCTAGATTTTGAAATTTTGATAGTAGACATATTATTACCCGACGGTTCTCCCTTCTCGTTTGTAAATGCATATTTCCCAGCCAGGGTGCAAGACACACGAAGACTACACGACATGTTCTTTGCCTGCAGAAAGGATATATTATTTACTGGATACTTCAATTCCCATCATGTGGCTTGAGGTTTCAAAATAGATTTAGGCGGAAAACGCTTGCGGGAACGGGCTATTGACGAGAATTGGTCATGTTCGAATTCACACGTGGCTACTTTTGTCCGAGTTCTTTCTAAATCTGTAATAGGCTTAACATTTTCAAGCTCATCTTTAAATGTATGTTTGTGGCAAACTTTAGACTGTGCTTCTAACTCTGACCACTTGCCTAATACTTTTGTCCTCAACTTTCCGAGAATACTTGTAGCCGAAAAGGTCAGCTCATTCCTCACTTATGAAAAAATAGAAAAAGACTTTAAGGCTAATTTTATTCGCCACAAAGATATCCAAGATGACATATGGGCTAGGAGTCAGTGTACAGTGTTAAAAAGATCAGTAAAAGACGACTTTTAAACGAAACTCGGCCCCAAGAGGTTCTTATAGTCTATGGTAAACGGAATAGTGCAAGAGGAGCCATAGAAAATGTATAGCTGCATGGAAACAACTGCTGGTCAACCAAAGCCCGAAAACTTGGTGTGTATATATATTCGCAGCAGCAGACTTCAAACGCAAAATAAGTAAAGCAAAAGATGGCTATAATATGAATCGATTTGAATATATTTCTAGGGCTAAAACAAGCGCTCTTCAGATTTTTAAGATCGCAAAACAGTTAGCACGCTCTGAAAATATTGACTATTCCGTTGTTTCTCCCGTGATCTCTCTGATTTAGTAGAAAATATCGCGAAAGGGCTCCAAGATAGGTTTATGTAAACTATTTCACTGCGGATTGTGAACCCAATGGTGGGGGAGGAGTTCGAGAAGATTACATTAGATGAGATGGCAGGAATAAAAGGGAACTTATGTCCTTCAGCACCTGGACTAGACGGGTGACCAACGCAATGATAAATGTAATATTCGAGATTTCTCGAACTGAAGTACTTAATCTGGTAAATTTTTCTTTGATAAAAGCTTGGATACCTTCGAAATGGAAGCTGTCTAAAGTGATTCCACTTCCTAAAAAGCAGAAAACAAGATTTGCCTTAGAGAATGTAAGGCCATTACCGCTCACGTCTAATCTGTTTAAGCTAATTTTAATAGTTTTGAATGGCCTGGTACTAAAATATACTGATAATAACAAAATGTTACACCTCAGTGAAATTGGTTTTATATATGGTTGCTCACTATGGTGTGCGCATGTTTACTTAAAGAGCCGAATACAACTGGGTAGGCATCGGCGCCAATAATGTGCATTAGTTACTCTAGATTTGGCTAAAGCGTATGATAAGATGGAGTATTCAATTTTATTAAAACAGATGGAATATCACCACTTTCCCAACTACATCACTGTGTGGATTTTGAAGTTATTTTGAATAATACTGTTTTAAGTATGAAGACTCATCGAATAGATATAAGCAGACACGTGGCGTACCACAGGAGCTATCCTGTTGCCAGTTTTAATTACCATCGTATTAGGCTCTATTCCATCAACTAAGAATATTTAGTTATATGTGTACGCGGACGAAATTGCTTTTTTTGCAAGTATTGCCAATCTTCAATCCCTATACCAGAGCCTACAGAATCATCTCAATAAGATAGAAGGGTGGCTGAAAAACAATCATGTGACGCTGAACCTAAAGAGAAGTTCGCTTTTTGCATTCTATTTTCTGCAGCCTATACATCCCGTTAATATATAGTAATGAGCTCATTCAGCAGCAAATTTTCCTAAATATTTGGGCATCTTATATAATGATACACTAAATTGAAGAAGACGCGCTGATTATGTGTACTCCAAGGCAACACGCACCATGGGGTGGCTACGGAAGCTCGCAAACCGTAAAACGAGTTTAACAAGAGATGCGCTAACAATGATATAAAAACTTTATGTGCGGCATCAAGAAATTCGGATGTGTATAGTTCTGTGGCAGTGCAGCTTATAAAATGAGACTTCTAAAACTACTAGAAAGAGAAGCGTTGCGGTTGTGTCTGGGTCTCCTAAAGTTTGTTGCAAAAACGTGTTGTATATGGAAGTTCGCCTACCTTCTCTGCTGAATAGTTTGAAAGTTCTTACTGTGCAAGCATTCTTAAAGACATACAGTTGACCCCGAAGAGGCTCATTTTACGTTGTCATTCAAGAACCAACTTTGCTCTTTGAAACGCATTAGTCGCGACTACACACACCGCAAATCATATTCGCACAAGCGATGCTACATAAACTGAATGTAAAAACTAAACATATTGGCCTAATATACAATCTAATGTAAATGCTTTGCATGCAATTTGATTATTTATTTCCTCATAACGCCAAACAATTGGCACATAGGTACCTAAAGAACCAGTTGGCAGATTATCTAGCTCAACTGCAGATAAGCAATGTTATTGCGACTGATGCATCCGTGTCAAAAGAAAAGGCTGGGGTTGGCATCTTCCTTCCTTTTTTATTGGTCCTTTTCTATTTGACTCCCAAAATATATCATGTATTGATTGTACAATTATTGGCTGTTGTTCTTGCCCTGCGCAAATCGCCTTGAAGGCAATCATCAACAGTGATCATTACAGATTTATTATCAGTGTGTAATGCACTTTCTGCAGCATCAAATGCAGACTGATGAATAATTTTTGTCATTTAATATTAAAAACGTAAAAAAATTGGGATTTGCTATGGGTACCAGCCCACCGCAGGTTATATTTGAACGAAATGGTGAACTTTATAGCAGTAGTATCTCTGAGTGAGCCCACCATCTCAGTTTTTCCAGATACGGCTTACGTGACAGCGCTGAGGTTCCAAAATCCTTGTTTGCACTGGGAGTAGGTAATTTGAATAATTTTGAAGATTTCGAGCATTTAAGGTATTGCTGAAATAAACAATGGTGTGTATCTCACCAGTTCTAAGTCACTTATACCAGATTGCGTGGTACAGTTTCACAACTAAATTACTACCTTAACAAAGCTCGACTGGCGTCACTGTTGTGCACTTTTTGCAACAAAATTGAACCAATTTGACATTTCGTTTTATTCTGTTGTCGTTATTCATCAGAGAAAAAGATTTTCAGAAGCCCCATTACAGAACTTAGGAATACGCGTAAATGTAACAGTATTTTCATCACTTCAGAGCTGCTCATTAGGTTACTGCCACATGGATATATGATCCACTGTGTTTGGCTACATCAATGACACTAAAAAATTACCGTGCTAGTGATTCCCAACCATTTCAAATCTTTAGTTTGCAATTTGTAGCTATGTCTGTCAGGAACAACAGATGGTTTGAGCGCTTGCTCAGCAACCATTTTTGTTTATTGGCAGTTTCATCTCTAAACTAAATTTTTTAAAAATTGGCTTTAATTTCATTTTAGTTTCATATAGGTATCCTGCAGCCCGGTTCTTCGCCCATCCCCGTCTGTGGGTGAGCGCCATCTATCTGAGGTCATCAGCATCATCATCAGATTAGAAAACGCTCCGACAGGCCACTCATCTAGCTTTCGCTGTGACTGTTGTAGTGAACACGTATCCCGAAGGATTACGGCCATTGGCGTGGGTCTAGTCTTAACTAGCTTCAAGGCACGTCTTAACTGTCACCGTGGCGAGAACACCATACTGCTCAAGGTGGCAACACTTAATTGCCTGCGGCAGCACCGCACACCCAGTACACAGCCCGTTGCAACAGAAGCTGCCGGAAAGGAAATAGGCTTATCCACGCCCCGGGCGAGAAGTACTACACATGATGCCGCGATCACGTCTCCGTGGTCATAAGTGGTTTACGGTGACACCGGAACAACAGAGCCCAGTCGCTCGAGCGAAGGCGGAACTCCACTCGTGTTGGCTTCCGAGAGGTACGGGTCGGCGTAGTATGGCCACGCACTAGGACACTGCACCGCTCTTCAGCCTTGTGTACAAAAGGAGGGGTGACAACAGGTAAGTGTTCGCCGCGGGCGCAAGGCCCCGTTGGCGAAGTCCGAACGAGCCCCAAACAAAAGGAGCCGACGTACGGAAAAGAAATTTGTGCTTACCCTATGTCGTCCCGGAGAGGTTCTCTCTCGCTCCCGACACGCGCGTGCAAAACGTCCCCAAGAGACTCCGCGCAGGGCGCCGCACTCTATATTCGCTTCCGGTGGAGAGGGGTTAAACGTCACTCTCCTCTCTTCTAGCTTGTCAGATCGTGGAGGTGGGAAGTCATGTCGGGACATGGGAATGCAGAAAGAGGTGGCGAAGCCCGCGCAAAGTCGGCAGGCTCGCCTCAATTCTCGCAATGTGCTGTGCTTTCAGCACAGTCAACCTTATTTCATTGAAGGCTCGCATTTTCATAATTCTCAATCCTTTGTAATATAATTTTCGCAGTCCACCATGCCACACTTGTGGTACCTCTCAGCAGACTTCCAGCTTTTTGTGGTGGCCGTGGCTGTGATACAGACGTTTGGAAGGTAAGTGTACTGAATGGCAATCAAGTTGCCTTCTTTTTCGGGCAGGCATGAAGCACGTTATCTTCATTTTGCATCTTCATATTTGTACCAGCTAGCAAATAGTGCTATCATTTTCATTGGTACATATTCTTAATATTATTTTAATAAAGAAATATAATAACAAATAAATTTATTAGTTATTTGTTAATGAAAGATATAAGTTATTTACACTTGTGTCCACCATAAGAGTGACCAGCAGTGAGAATGCCGTTGTACATGCAAATGGATGAAAGTTGCTTTTCTACTTAATGATCGGGAGTGATTCTGTTGAACGATAAATATACGAAGATGTGTACCATGATTTTAATGACTTTCCTACTCTTAGAGGCAGGGTAATAATAATAATAATAATAATAATAATAATAATAATAATAATAATAATAATAATAATAATAATAATAATAATAATAATAATAATATAATAATAATAATAATAATAATAATAATAATAACATTATTATTATTATTATTATTATTATTATTATTATTATTATTATTATTATTATTATTATTATTATTATTATTATTATTATATTTATTATTATTATTATTATTATATTTATTATTATTATTATTATTACGACTGGCGGTCCAGCGTCACGCTGAACTGCCAGTCGTGTTCCTTTGACTCTGAATTCTTGTTGCTGTCTGAATCAGCCACTGCCGTCCACTGAAAATGAGCGCGAGTGTGCACTTTTCAGTTTTTTAGCTGCTTTGTGACTAATCTGCCCTTTGTAAATCGGGAAGCACTTTCAAGAAACGCCAGTGGTCTTAAGTAGCGGCAACATACACTATAGAACGAAACAGTGTATTATGACCTTCTTTGCCGTTCCACAGTGACCGATTTCCTTCTTGGTACTCTAAAATATCCTCATTGGAATGCAGTAGCAACAATCACGCCCCGAAAACTGTGTAGAACCACGTATTTAAACATATCCGACTGGTAGCATCCGCAATGTGTTAATTGTGCACTTCGACAGCAATGCAAGATGCGGATGAGCAATCGTCAGAATGGTAGCTGCACGCAGAAAAACTCCATAACTGCAGCAGGATCACTGCTGCCGTCGCGGTGAGCCATGCCGCTACAACGCGGGTAACGCTCCTATCATGTGCGAAACGATCAAGTGCAAAAATTTAAAAAGGAAGGCCTGCGTACCTATCGAGTCCAACCATGGCTGCGTATATGAATGATGTCGTATATAACAGGCAGATATTTTGCAGGCGTCGTCAATTTCACTGAAGTATAAGATGAAGAAACGTTAACAGTGAGCATATATTCCTGTTTAATGGTAATGAGTTTGTACTGAGGTGTTCAAATTTTATTTTTTATTGATATGTGAAAACATTTGATGAGTTCACTGACGTAATTCTGTGAAAAATCTCTGGTGCCGTTAAAGCTTGTCAGGACAGATATGTTGATTAATATGTTCCTGGTGAGGGAAAAGAGCCTGCAGTTAAGGGTTCTGGATAATACTTACACCGAAACTACATAAATACCAAGTGCCACTTGTGATACCACTTGAGTATTCGACACTTATAAAGGACATGCATAGAAGCAGCACACCCATGTGCAGCTTGATGCAAACCCACTTCCCTTATGGCGACGAGCTACAGAGTTACTACCTAGTTGCTGGAATAGCTGTCATGTCACCATGTATTAGCAGAAAAAGAGGGGCATCGTAAAAGATTTGTTGTGTGCTAAGATACTTATACATAGGTATACAGTGAAACCCACCTACCAAAATGCCAGTTTTAAGAATATATCGGTTGTAACAATGATAGGCGGCTGCACTGTCAGTTTTTGTGTGTTTTCCTTAGCGAATTAGCCCACTTACTGCAATGCCCACAAGCTGCATTATCGCTTATAGCAATGAATTGAAGCAGTTGGGTGTTTGTTCCAAAATGTATTAAAACGCGAAATCAGTAACAAAAACAAAACAAAAATTCAAGCAGCTGAACTCCCGCCCGCCACCCCAGTCTCCCTTTTTATTCGCGTACGGTCTAAGCGTTCAGCAGGAGACGGCATTGTGACAAAGCTCACTTTTGATATCCGCTGCTCCGTGGTTTGCTTGTCGCGTCTGTTAATACACTTCTGTGAATGCATTTTGAGTTAAAACATCACACTAGGTAAAATTTCAGTGTCCACAACTTCATACGTTGTCATACATTGGCTGCGTGTGCCTAGTGGCGGTCCCGTGAAAGCGTCCAAATTTTCAGGCAAATTCAAAAATCGGCCGCTCTGTCACCCTTATCACTGATATTTGTTGGCGTATCTCGTCTGATACTACCATATTTTCAGAAAAACCTGCCACCTTTATACATCGTTTTTTTCGTGCAACCAGTTTGCAGCAATAACAATGAAACGTTCGTGGCATTTTAGCAATGTTATAAGTGAATTTGATTGTACAGAAAAATTCATTGCTTAGCGGTGCAGCTTTTTGGCAAAGCCAGTAATAAAGTTTGAAAAGGCGTGGGAGTAGTGGTGGCTTTTGTTGATGCACTTTCGGGCGTGAAATATGCGTAAAATTTAAAACTTCGAAGAACCTCACAGTCCGATACGTCTAGTATCAAAGTATCAATCATGAAAATTTGGCGACGATTCTCTTGACGTGACCAAATAAGTTTTTAAAGTGCCTTTCACCCCAAAAAGTGCAGTACGCAGCTTATCCATTACTATTCATGTTATAACTGGTTGTAACGGACAAGAGGGAAATAACAGAAGCAATCATTCCTTATTCTTGTTCAGTGTACACGCTTGATAATGACGTTGCCCATGATTTGACTACCTATAGCGCCATTCCACGTATTGATGACGTCTGTGTCGCTGAAAAAAGTGTGTTATCGCTTCTGTCACCAGGAGCTGACTCTGTACCTAATGCCTTTCTGATAAGGTGTGCTGAATTTATTTCCAAACACCTAGTCTTGATCTTTAAATTCTCTTTTTCGGGCACTGAGCTTCCCAATTATTGGAGTCACGCCAAGATCACGCCTGTACCATAAACTCTTTAGTATTCGCTTGCATCCTCGTTTAGGCCTATCTTCTCGTTATGCTCTAGTGTTGAAATTTTAGAACATTTGGTATTCAAACATCTTTGTGTTTGTCGAAAATATTAACCGAATTACTCTCCTTCAGCACGGCTTTCGCAAAAGATATTCTACGGTAGCCCAGCTTATTGAGACGTTTAATTAGCTGGCGCCAGCAATTGATGTGATTGGTCAAGTAGATGTTGAAATAATTGATTTCTGAAAAGCTTTCGATCGTATGAGTCACCAAAAATACTACTTAAGCTCAAACTGATACTGAAAAAATGACATAATACTTGAGTAGATAGCTGCTTATCTTACAATGATAAGACAATTTAATACTATTGATGGTTTTAGCTCAAGTTCCGCCCACGTGAAATCAGATGTGCCTCAATGGCTCAATAGGAGGCCATTTTTCCCTGTATTTTATTATTGATAATGTGCTAAACTTATCCCTGAAACAAAGCTGTTCGTAGACTATTGGATACTATCACAAATACTTTATATTTACAATAACCCAAAATCGTTTTATACTACATTACCATCGCTTTAAACGTGGTGTTCAAAATGGGGGATGACAATAATTTATAAAAAAACAGAAGCAATAATAGTAAGTGAAAAAAAAACAGCCACCTCTCTTTACTTATCCATCAATGGTCATGCTTTATTGGAGGTCACTAAACAATATTATTTAGGTCTAATAATCACATCAGACCTAAATGAAATGAACATGTTTGTTATAAAAAATATGACAATATAAATGCTTCCCTCCTTGCGAAGGTGGCTTGTGAATGCTACACCGCAGATCAAACTTCTCGCATACAAAACTTTTATTAGGCCAGTATTGAACTGCGCAGCTGCAGTGTGGCATGCCTTTACTGAGTTCAATCCTAAAAACTAGAAGTAGTCCAAAAAAAATCTGTTCTACTTGTGTTTAATTGTTATAGTTAGTGCACTTCATCTTCAATTTCTTTAGTTTAAGTGGAGCGCAAAAAGCTTCTCCAGAGAAGAAGAATAGAGCGGCTGCAGCTGTTTTCCCGATTTTTCATAACAAAACTAGAATTCGCCAAACAGTTCACATTAAATGAACAAGTGAATGTTCTGTGTGATATTATCATTTATTGAAAGTTGCAGATTACGTAAATAGCACAGACACATTGAAGCATTTTATTCCTTTTTTCGCTGAACTATCCGGAGGTGGAATTGCCAATCACCCAATACTGTAGAGTGTACAACACTTGGTTTATTTCTGAATGCTCTCATCACCCTTTAGTAATGGGGTTTTTAAACTTGTATATTCATTCACTTACCCCAAAGATAAGCAAGGCTTCCCTTTGTATTCAGTCGGTTTTAGTTAACAATATTAAGGTAGTTGTTGTAATCTTTTATTGTTTTTCGCAAATTATTACAAAATGCTCAAATATATGCTTTTTTATTGTATGTTATGTTTCCCGTACGACTTCATAGAATGATTACCGATTTTTCTATGTTTGCGCGATGCTGATTATGTTGTTTCCTGTGAAGAGTTCCGTATGCCTATTTCTGCTTTAGACATGGTAAACAGGAGAGCAGTATATAATAAATAAATTAATTATTTAAATAGATTGTCATACATTGAGTCTCTGGGCATTGTGGTGGTCCCGTGAATACGTCCGAATTCGCAAACATACCAAAAATTTGGCTGCTTGTTATTTTTGTCACTGATGTCTGTTCGCGTATCTACTTAGATATAAATTTGTCACAGCAGCCTGCTGCCCCCTTCTTTCATTTTTTCGTCATGCAACCTGTTTGTAGAAATCGTAGGTTATTACAATGACATGTTCACGCACTTGAATATTGTTATAGGTGGGTTCGACTGTATTTCTATTTTCTTTGTTTCTTGCAGTGAGAAGCGGCTCGCAGCTGTCGTCTTCGCGGTGCTCTCGTTGCTTTGTTGTCTCGTGTCTGCGTGTCAAATATATGGCACCAACATGCTGCCTTTTATTGTTCCTTTGCACACATCTTACAAGTAAGAAGCGTCATACGTGTGTTATTAGTTCAAATATTCGAGAATATGACGCACAAGATGCGTCCACTGTTTGGTCTCACACTGAAGTACACGTAATTTATATTATCGATGTATAGGAACATATACTGCAGCAAATTTTATCGAACGTTTTTATATAGGGAACACCAACACTACTTTATAGCTGTTTGTATCATCGATCAGCCTAGAGTTTATGCGTTATAGCCATTAAAAGGTAGAGTAAAATTATTTTTACGTCAAAGAAACCACTATATTATTGCTTTGATTGAGGCAGCATAAATACCACTAAAATATTGTTGAATTCAATTTGCAACCAAGCCGAAACATGACGTAGAAAGTATTAATTTTTCTCGGGTCAGTTCTTTTTGGCCTGACTTCACGGAACTTCAGACGCATAAGAGTACTTAGATGTTAAGTGACCTCATTCGCTAATATGACGCAAAATATTACGACCAGTTGGCTAAAATTTGACTAACAATATACAAAACAGACTCATGGTTCGCCTTCAATATATACAAAATATATACAATATATACAATATATACAAACAATATACAAACTCTCATGGTTCGCCTTCGTGGTTACTACCTGTCCTAAGTAGACGTACTTTTCCTGGTTCATAAAGACAGCCAGAAATACACGCAGTCACATTTGGGAGCTGTGATAAGGAATCGCATAATTCCTTTTAGGCTGCAGCCTCAGTTTACTATCTATAGGGAATAATTTATTTGTATATATGGACGCTCTCACTGCGCTTTGCGTCACCGTTGCTATGACGTTCGGTATGAAGGTAAATTTGCAACATCACAGACAGTACGAAGGTCATTTTGCTTGCTGGAACAGTCGTGTTTTCCTACGCAGGAGTTTTAAGGTTACTCCACGTTGGATGCTATAGCAGTTAGTTGTAGCCTTATATTTCGTACAAACACTAAATGGTTGCTTTTGAGTTCATCCCTTCTCACTTGCAATGAAACTGTAAATATTTATTATTGTTGCTCATGGAATGTAGGAGAGTAAACAGTACATCAGCAATTTATTCAAAGTATATTCAAGCAAGATTTTGAACGTAATATTGTAGGAGATGGCTATCTGTGCACTAGGGACCACGATTAAGGTCCTATCACATTCGTGGAAAACATCTGCATCCTGTTTTTCACATATATGTGCAATACTCTTTTCGAAACTCACAAAATTACGTCGTAAGATTAATTTTTATAAATCGTATTTTCAAAACCCTATTATACTGCTAGCCGCTAACCTAGTCAGAATAGCTAAGCTATCAACTTCACACTGAATGGCATAATCACTTCCACCACCACTCGTTGTAGATGTTTTTGTCGACGTAACTAATCTTGCTAGAATCATGGTGTGGTTTTAAAAAACACTGTGAATTTTCTTGAGGTACTAGGGCAAGAGAAAACAATGTATATGTGAGCTGCCTCACGAGGTCTGCTACCCGTCTCTAACAAGAAATGCAAACGCGCTGTGCCTCTCTGGCACACATTTCCAGCATCTATTCGCTGTATTCTATTTCTTGGATTCTGTTATATCTAATGTATTCTTCATCTGACAATTGTAAACGACACTACTTAGTGCTTAGTACGGTAGAAACCCACAAGTGCCAGTGGTCAGCAAGATCTCGCGCAATTTAGGTGGGCCTGTTCCCGATAGTGAATTGGATAATGCACGACATAATGTGAACAAGTACTTCATAGTAAGTTTGAAATTCTAACTTATGGTTTCATCTTGAAGTTCTATTCACTGCTAATGAAGCTTTAACACTCGAGCAAAGTAGAAGAAAGTCCTCTAATAGACATAACTTGTTTTGAATACGTTTTTTTTGAAGTGACATGCTGCACACTTGCCTACTCCAATCTGAGACCGAGCTGAATCAAGAAGAACGTGCCTTTTTTAACAAGCTTCCTTGACGAACGCTTCCAGAATTCATAGAACCTGATTCTTGCTGCTGATTTTTGGTAAAACAAGTTGGAAAAGTGGACACGAAAATTAAGATATGAAACTGACACGTATTGGATCCCAAGTGCGCTGCTCGAACAGGCCAAATGACGAATGGCTCTTTTCCATACGCACCGAGGAAATGAATCTACGTACACTGATTTTTATAGCATCACTACATTTAGCAACGTCCTTGCAGGTGCATTTGAAAAGCAAAATTTTTCATTATTTTTATATGCGTTGAGCTAAACTAGTGATTCAGTTTGTCGCGTTATGTCATGATGCAGCTCAAGCCATGAAAACGTTTGTGTCGCCAGGGACAACCTAACTGATGCCACGCACTTCCTGAGTAATAGCGAGCTATTCACCAGGTGCCACCTTACACGTCAGAAATTTACCAGGAGGCTGCCAAACATTGTGCGAAAGATAATCTTCCATAAACGTTAAGTGATTCCATCATGCAAGTTTTCTTTACAGAGATTTTATTTGATCCATTGTGTTTTTCTCTTCATTTCTTACTACAGAGACACATTTGACACAATACAATACTACTACCAGCTTCCATTTTACCATGCTGTGTGTTTCTTCTCTGGATGTATGACTTTCTTCTTCGTTGAGAAGTACGGAAAGGTCAACATCTCCAAGGTGAGTTAAGAACCATTTCCTTACCTATACCGGCAGCGAATTTTACGCAATAATCACTGGAAGTACCATGACAACATAAAAACGATGCAACAGAAACTTCATACTGTGCAGTTTTTTAATAAAGCTTGGCCAATAATTTTATTACCTTACTGAATGAACATTTGCAAACATTAGCTAGCACTAGCTATCCTTTAGCGAACATCAGCCAAGTTAGTTAACGTCATCCGATAGCAGCCTAGATTAACAAATATTTAGTTAATACTAACTTCAGCTGTTTTAACAAACACCAGCAGCCATTCAACAGTAGCCGTGATTAGCCTATGCTAGTTACCATTCAGCCAATGCCAATTGACACCAAACCTGGCACCTTTACGATGGCTGGAAGAGTGAGCTTCCTCTTCTTCAATCTTTCCCCATCCACCTTCGCCTGTTAATGGTAGCGTACCACGCGTCGTCCAGGTTAACCTCCCGGCATTTCTTCTATTCATATATATATATATATATATATATATATATATATATATATATATATATATATATATATATATAGATATAGATATAGATATATATATGTTGGTTATGTTGGTCATGTTGGTTATATATATATATATATATATAACCAACATGAGAATGGATGTTATGCCTGCCTATTAGTGCGACTTCTTTCCGCCTGCGATGACAGGATGGCGCCGTTACTTCTTGCGGCCACACTACCATCTTACAGTCTATATTTCGCCATTGTGTCATATTTTTACTTGCTGCGCTGACTGAATAATACATTGCTGCGGTAACAGTGTGACATGTATCTATGTTACGGCAATGATGATATGGTGTTTTTTTCGCCGTGTATATTACGTGTTCGTATACCTGGTATACAGAGACGTACTTTTTTTCGCAGGTGAATGTATTTGTATGCTTTCACACTGCGACAGGTACATCATTTTTGCCCTGGAACGGAACCAAATAGTTTACACGCTCTAAAATCATGTATCATGTACTATGCGATTTAGTCAGCAAACCCTGGCATTTACATAACTAAAACCTAGGTTGGTTATAGCTGACATTCCTGAATCTGCTGTATAGACCTGCCTTGGCATAGCGTAAATTCACAGTATTCACATGAGTTAGCGCTAACATTACGCATGAAGCACTTCTGAGTGAATGTATACTGCGAAACGTTTACACCTTAAAGGGTGTAAAATGAGTATACGCATCAAAAGCAACCATATGAACACCTTTTTTATGCCCTATGTTTACAATTTGAGGTGTTCGTGATTAAAACACCCTCAAAACACCCCTTTTACACCCCTATATTTAGGTTGTTATGAACAAGGCTACAAATTATTGATTTAAATGTGAGATTTAACGTCCGACAGCCACCATACCATATGATTATGAGAGACGCCGTAGTGGAGGGCTCCGGAAATTTCGGCCACCTGGGATTCTTTAACGTGCACCCAAATCGCATGGGTGTACTTAATCCAACACCCATAGTTTAAGGGTGTTCATAAACACCTTATAAATTAGGGTGTAACGTTTATTCACACCCTACGTTGTCAGGGTGTTTCTCAACACCTTATTGTTTAGGGTGTTTCTAGACAACCTAAAATGGTGTTGTGCATAGGACAAAATTACACCCTTATACTTTACAGTGAAACGTTACACTTCAAAAATTTTACACCCATAAAGGTGTATTTTTGTTCTAAGGGCAACAGCCTTTTCAATTCAGTAAAGCCTTTCAATTATTCTACCCTTTCCATTAGGTCCATGTCACACCGTCTTATATCAGCTACCTTGCGCCTATTGATTAACTTCGAAAGCTTCACTAGCTTTATATTGTCGCTTGCATTTGAGCCTTTCACAATTTGTCGTGTCTTGATGAGATTATTTTTCTACTGATAGTTTGCTCGTGTGCCGGTCTGAGAACTGGTTAACCTCCCGGCCCTTCCTCTTTCAATCCTCCTCCTCCTCCTCCTTGCTGGTTATCTGTTTGGTCACTGTATACATTCCACATCCATTGCACACACTTTGATAATACTAGTAAGATTATTGTTCATTGTGTCAACGCTAACTTCGGTTACCTCATTTAGTGCCTCGAGTCTATTCTGAAGCGAAACTGAATTACTTGACTTTCCCCTCACCGCTAGGTTCCTGTGTATCAGTTTATGCCTTTGAATTGTTAATCTAGGGGAATAGTACGAGCTCTTACCATGCTATGGTCACTGCACCAGATCTTCCCAACTACTACTATATCCAGTACATTGTCTCTGTGTGCACACAGAATGAAGTCTAATTCAAGTTTAGTTTCGCCATCGGGACTTCGCAACGTCCGCTTACGGTTGGCCTGTTTTCTTGAAAACGTATTCAAGATACGTGAATTATTACGTTCTGCAAACTGTACTAATAACTCCCCTCTGTAATTTTTAGAGCCGATGCCATATTCCCCCACAGCATAGTCTCCTGCCTGTTTCTTGACTACTTTGGCATTAAAGTCGCCCATGAGAATAGTATAATGTCTCTTTGCTTTATTAATGGCTCACTATACGTATTCATAGCAGCGTTCAACCAAATGATCCTCATGGCTCGGTGTAGCGCGCAGGCCTGTACCACCTTTATCTTGCATATTTTGTTAAACATAATTATGATAGTGACGACCCTCTCATTGATGCGATAGTAATACTATGTGTTGCCAGCGATATTCTTGCGTATAAAAAAGCCCACTCCTAGTTATTTTCTGTCAACAATCACATGGTAGTATAGGACGTGTGGAAAGCACCTTCCGCTAATAATGTAGTGAGGGGATTATGGGTAGCGGGCAATGTGCGTTAGTGCTGGGCGGACTTTGGGCAGTTGCTTACCAGGGCAGATGGTGAGCAAGGTTGGCAGATGACGGATGATAGCCCAAGTGGCTGCATGGTGGCTAAAAAATCTGTGGAGTAAAAGGTGGGTGGAAGGCTCGGTGATAGCGCGTATTTAAAAAGTTTTCTTTTGATATTCTTGCAGTTAAATATAAAAACAGACTTTGCGATTTCACAAATATGCAGACAAGTTACCCCTCCCCCCCCCCCCAACCCCAAAAAAAGCTAAGCGTTTACTCCCAGCTTTCCATGCAAATGTGTCATCTGAACAAACAGAGACTGTAATGCTACGTTTTACGTTAGTAGCGAACGGCCTTACTCTGAATAAGTTTACTTTTCTACAACTGTTAGATTTGGGCTTACTACTCTGACTTATTCAGCTGCTTCTGCGCAAGAGCATGCAGAAAACTTTCTACTATTCTTCATGGTACTTCCTCAGTGGTTCTTCATGAAACTGCTAGAAAAAAAAACAATTTTTCTCAACAACCTGAAATATAGATGAAAAATTTTTTTAAGAAATAGAAATGGTTTGTTAAAGTAACCAGTGAATTTACGTACCTATACTCTTATTCAGGCTTCGCTTAAATCACTGCATATAGCAAAGAAACCGAACATTATTCGTGTGGCTTTCTGATAGTGTCAGCGTTTAACCTGTATCTCATTAGGAGTGTAACACTTCTCGTTTTGCACAATGAATAACTTAACGTCCGCGCTTTGTGCAAGTATGATAATTTGTTGGGCTAGTTGTTTTTTAGATTCAGACTTGAAACGTTTAACCCGAAGAAAGAAGCCACCTCAAAATACAGGAACACGCACACGAACAGCATAGCGTTCGTGTTTTTCTGTGCTTCATTAGTGTACGAGTTTCTATATGTTAAATAATATTGCGTTCACGCTGTTTATACATGCCCGCTGAACACTTTTTTCAACTATGTCACTAGATAATAGAAGATAATCTCACTACAAATCACTATATTGTTATTGTGCCACTGGCTATTTCTTTTCGTGGGCTGCCGTCAACAGAACACTGCTTACCCTAATTGCCGAGATAATTATCTGCATTCGTAGCAGAATGACAGTGCAAGTTTAGAGGCAGCTCTTGAAAGAAATTTTGCTCAAAGTACATGCCAGTTAGTTCTGCCACGAAACATCTTGTTCATCTTTAAAGGCTCGCACGATTCTCTCACTCACACTTACGAAGACTAATACAAAAACATAACGAAAACAGAGCCTGGAACTTACTTCGAACACTACCACAACGAGTGAAGTTCACAGCGGAAGATGCCGACAGCCGGCCGACGAGGATACACAGCCAGCAAGTTGTTGTTCGAGCTGCTATGCCGACCCCCCCCCCCCCCCTTCATTCTTTCTAAGAGACACACAACATTTAGCATAATTTTTCAGGGGCAAATGTTGACCACGTGCAACTATTTCCGACATAACAAATTATGAACACACAAGCACGCGCGCATAATCAGTGTTTAGTGATTGTAACCTGCCCTAATAACAAAATATACACGCTAAGCAAACACTGGGAAGCGGCCCCGCCGCGGTGGTCTGTGGCTAAAGTATTCGGCTGCTGACTCGCAGGTCGCGGGATCAAATCCCGGCTGCGGCGGCTGCATTTCTGATGGAGGCGGAAATGTTGTAGGCCCGTGTGCTCAGATTTGGGTGCACGTTAAAGAACCCCAGGTGGTCAAAATTTCCGGAGCCCTCCGCTACAGCGTCTCTCATAATCATAGGGTGGTTTTGGGACGTTAAACCGCACATATCAATCAATCAATCAACATTGGGAAGTGAGACGTATCGCGTCTTACTGATTCACCGTCACAACACAACCCGGTGCCATAGCAATATTTTCCAAGATTGTGTCTAATACACGCCAATTAGCTTCGCCAGCATTATGTCATATTAAAGTGCAACGACGATTGCGGAATTCCTACGTAAGAAGGAATTCCGCAATAAAAAAAAGGCGAAACTTTTATCTGCTTTCAGTGAATATGTACAGCGGGTTGTGCGCCCGTCTCACGTATACCAGCCTTTTTAAATGTAGTCTTTTAACTTCTCGGAAACATCAAATGCGGCTAAGCTAACGACAGCTGCTAGAACATCACACTTCACATTCAGCACAACTGCAAAAACATTCAGTTTCCCAAGGCAATCACGTATATAGCAATGACAATGCGTGCGTATGTAGGGTATCACTTACAGCTACCTACCTTTGGCTAAAAAATATGCTGAAAGGTTACTCATTGTGAGGTTTACCAGCCTTCAAGTGATTGGCCGGATCTGCGTACACAGGGCCACACTGTACCTAAAATATAGAACTTATTTAATGCTGCTCTGTGAACACTAATATATTTAGACCTATTATTATAATATATCCAATTTTTACGAAAAGACCACATCAGTGAGCGGTATTTTTATCATACCTGTGATATACTTTATTAGAAAATGCTCCTTTTGCCCATCTTTCTTGAGGAACTTCTCATAACGAGCAGCTTAAGAGCACAAGAATATCATCAAGAAGTCTGCTTCTAAATGTTCAACGTGGACAGTTTCTTCTATACCTGGAGATGCATTTCATACATGGTTTGAAGTGCTAGAGTTATGCAGAGCTAGGTTGAGGCATTTCTTGAAGTCCATAATAAAGAGACGAGGAAGATAATTCAGATTCGGACACATGCATTGCTAAAACACTCACCTAGTTTGTTGCACAAGCTAATAAAGGAACACATAACTTCATTAAACGCATAGATGAGACATGTTTGGTGGTCTTTCTTTTCATTGTGCTCTTTGTCTGGTTTGTATATGCAGACTCTAATGGCTGTACTATGGTGCATTGCCCTATTATGTGGCCTCAGCTGCGTGTTCATGAAGCTGGAGTGGAACATGAAAACTGAGCGACCTAGCGAGACTAAGCGGATGTTTGTTGCCTTTGTTGACCGCATCCTGTGGTCTTCCTGCGTGTCCTGGTTTTGGTTCACTTGCACCACAGGTAGAGGAGGTAAGGCACAATACATACCAGCGTTTATCACTTTTTTTCCTAATACAATGCAATGTCAAACAAAAGTGTGCTTGCTTGCAATGACAACCAGAGCTAATGTTTAAAAAATTAAAGAAAGATTACTTGCACTTTTTCGGCCATTTTATATTTCTGGGTCAAGACAGTAAAAAAGTTGCCTATTGGAGCTTGAAGTGTTTTCTCAGTTCCTAGTGGCATACCGACACAACGTGAAAGAAGTGTATCTAAGCATGACTCAAAATCATCTCCACGAGCAATCCGAAATTTTTCCATCACATACTTGTCACGGGTTTTAAAAAATAGTACCACTCAAAATTAAACTTAGGAATGAACTGCATACCAACTTGCCCTTTTCAAACTGCGCATTCTCACAGGCTCAAGTGGACTTTGCGACCTAGAGGATTATTAGCGGCACTAAAGTGACGATTATGATAGGCATTCCTTCGCTCGGTCATACTTCTGCATACTTTTGAACTAAATGCGCTATGATCACACACTACAAACTTGGCGTGCAGTGTGAAAGCATTAGTCTCTTGTTTATTAGGGCAAATACTACCTAAACGGCGCTGTAATTAGTCGTAGGTTATTCTAAAGCAATAGTGACTGTATAAGTAGTCGGGCTCGGTTGATTACCATTCATGAATGATTGAAAAACAAAACTTTTGCTCCCAGGCCTTGTGTATTCTGTGATTCTTCTGGTCGTATATTTTCATCAGACTCGGTTGCCCCGTAAGCCTATATCCACTGTGCCGAGCAACACCATTATAATAAATAAATGATGTTCGCTGTGTAAACACTTCAACAGTAACACGACTATCTATTATAAATGGTGACGCTTGTGTTATACATAAATAGAAAGAAAAACGTGTAGAAGTTATTCATATGCGATTTTTTTGCACCCGCATCCTGTGAGTGCGAGAAATGCTATCTGAAATAGCCTAAGATCGAGAGAAAAATAAATAAATGAACAATTCGCACGTCCATATTAGAATCTTTCATATAGGGATGTAAGAATACTAGATTCTAGTAACTCCTATCTTCATTTCTGCATGTGCATATCAGGAAGCGTCGATAAAGTGCACTCTAGTGTATTTCGCTTGCCGCACTTCCTGCAAATACAACAGTCTAGAGAGCTAGCCATTTTACGGCTAGCATTGTTCAACCTCCTCCTATTGTGAAATAGGAGAAAGTAGGAATTTCGTTATGCTCCCGTCTGTCCTGTTATATACTAATGTGAGAAACATTGTTGATTTGAACAAAGCTTGTGGTATAGGGATACTGAGCGTGCCCGAGAATGGAATGTACGGTCATGTGGCGATACGGCGTTCAGCCTCAGTGGTTTCAGGTGTACCTTTATTTTGCTGAGCATGCGACTTGCGCAAAGAGTGGGTTATCGAGTGCTCCAACCCATTTAAAAAGCTCTACTTTGCTCACATATCAACTCTGGCGCCTACCAACTGCGGGGAATCGTTGGGCTTACAAAAGCTTCTGACATAATTCTTCGTGGTGGTCAAGCATCACACACACAAAAAATCCAGGAAGTTTCTTGTAAGCATGCAGCAGGCACCATGCTTCTTCGAAAAATGAGGAAGGATGGCATAGTGAGTGCACACCTACTACCCAATGGCGTAGTGGGTACCCTGCAAGTGTGCGTAATAGTTACGTAAAGGCTTTCTAAATAAGGCTCTGAACGGCCACCCTTGCAGCTTTCGCTGTGACAATACTGCGCGTTCCGTGCAAGCCCGGTGGTTTTTTCAAAAGCAGCACAGCAGCCAATACATCACTATAAGTCTTCCTACGGATAAGCGGTGTGCCCGCTACACATCTCTAAATTATTACGCGCACTTTGTTGATACTGCGAGCGGCTGTGGCGATGAATTATGGCTCAACACTTAGAACTGACGGGGGAGCATTAACTCTTTCCAGAAAGGTGGCCCTTCCAGATAACAATCTTTTCTTGATTTCTTTTCCACTTCATACACTTGAACCCCGTGCGTCAGTTAATAAGCGGTGCATTACTTATTGCTTTCGACAAACTGGCAGAGATAATGCTACTTTGTTTTAGCACCGATGTGACTTGTTAAGCTCCCTTTTTCTGGCTCTTGTCTTACTCAAGGCGCTCTAAGTGAAGGATCCGATATATATATATATATATATATATATATATATATATATATATATATATATATATATATATATATATATATATATATATATATAAGGGAAAGAAGTGTGTACCTAAGGGCTCGTTTTTCCGTGTTTCGACGCAATATTAATGAGATCTAACAAACAGTAATGCGAAGGAATGTACAGGGGAAGGTATTAGAACCAATGGAATGTAAATAAGAAGAAAGAAAAGTGGGTGAAAAAATAACCAGCCGTGAGCAGGAACCGAACCTACGACCTTCGAATAACGCGCTCGATGCTCTAACCGCTGAGCCATCACAGCGGCGTTCCCTACATCCACTTTTTGGGGTTTATATGTGAATTTAGAAGTAGGAGTGTCAGGCAGCGCCGTCTATAAGCCAAGCGACGAGAAAGAAACACTCTTTTAGGCGCATGTATGGCGTCACGTAGCACGTGAACTTATTACCAGCGGGCAGCTGAATAATAGTCCCTCGTATACAACCTGATGACAACAAGTCTGCCAGTACGAGACCCTCGTTAATGAATAAGGGAAAGAAGTGTGTACCTGTGGGCTTGTTTTTCCGTGCTATGACACAATAATAATGAGATCTAACAGACAGTAATGCCAAGAAATGTACAGGGGAAGTTATTAGAACCAATGGAATGTAAATAAGAAAAAAGAAAAGTGGATGAAAAAATAACCAGCCGTGAGCAGAAATCGAACCTACTAAACCCAAAAAAAGTGGATGGAGGGAAGGCCGCTGTGATAGCTCAGTGTTTAGAGCATCGAATGCGTTATTCGAAAGTCGTAGGTTCCATTCGTGTTCACGGCCGGTTATTTTTTCACCCACTTTTCTTTGTTCTTTTTTACATTCCATTGGTAATAATAACTTGCTCTGTACTGTCCTTGGGATTACTGTCTGTTAGATCTCATTAATATTGTGTCAAAACACGGTAAAACGAGCCCTTAGGTACACACTTCTTTCCCTGATTCATTAACGAGGGTCTCGTACTGGCAGACTTGGTGTCATTAGGTTGTATACGAGGGACTATTAATCAGCTGTCCACTCGTAATAAGTTCACGTGCTACGTGACGCCATATATGTGCATAGAAGAGTGTATCACACTCGTCGCTTGGCTTATAGATGGCGCCGACTGACACTACTACTTCTAAATTCACATATAAACCCCAAAAAAGTGGGTGGAGGTAAGGCCGCTGTGATCGCTCAGTGGTTGGAGCATGAAACGCGTTATTCGAAGGTCGTAGGTTCGATTCCTGCTCACCGCTGGTTATTTTTTCACCCACTTTTCTTTCTTCTTATTTACATTCCATTGGTTCTAATAACTTCCCCTGTACATTCCTTGGCATTACTGTCTGTTAGATCTCATATGCATATATATATATATATATATATATATATATATGATTATCTGTTTTCCTTGTCATTTGATTGATATGTGGGGTTTAACGTCCCAAAACCACTATATGATTATGAGAGACGCCCTGTCATTTGGATAGTGCAGGAAAGCATATTGTATGAGTAGCTAACGCTAATGACTATACAAATGAAGAGCTTCACTCAGTCAGTCAGAGCGCCATGTTACGGAAGTGGGTGGTCATGTGAGGTAGCCACCGTGCATGAAGGGTCTTAGAAAGCTGGTGATGCATGTTGTTTGAATGGAGCCTGGGGGCATGCCGATTGCAGAAGAGGAGAACGACAAACGATGACGTGCGCTCAGCTGGCGCTCAGTGGCTACTGACACACCATTGAGTGCCATCATAAAGAGGATATCATTATCACTGTCGTCGTCACCGTGGTTGTGACTTGGACTTGTAAAGACGTTTTACTTTGTGCCTCGGTCTCGTCTCTACGAGATTTCTGGCCAACCACCACCCAGAACCCTCCAATATATACTTTCGAAATCTGTTATTTCCTCAATTGTGTGATTATTAATATCGACCTTAAGCGTTGTCCAGCAGATCGCATTCAGTCTGGCCAATATTGCCATAATGCATCCATAGCAAGTATACCACTTCGGGAATGATGAGCAACACATACAATGCCCTTTGCCTCCTGTGGGAGGAGAAGGACTGCTTCGCGGTCTTTCACCGAAATTGACCTGTAGACGCTTTGTCCATGATGGTCACCTCAGGTGACTACCTGATATCTTTGGAACTGAAATTGTCGATTTTTCTTGTGAGAAATTGATTTTCTGCAATAGAGTTCACCGTTTTTCAATAAAATTTTATTTCCTGCCAAAAATAAACTTCTGTGCATAATACAGTTAAATCACACACTGGCTATGCAGTAAACACTTTGTGATGGACCACGTATAGCGAGATCAAGCAGGAAAAAATTGGCAGATCCCACGGACAGTGGGAATCGATCATATGCGAAGAACGAACGAGAAATGTCAATATGTCACTTCAATATCAGCACAACGTTACGAGGTGGAGGTAAATGATGCAGTACATTACTTCCATGTTATGATTGTCATGTTTGGATGTGCCGTTTATCTTCGTCATCTCTTCACGTCCAGCGATACCAAATTTAGTATATGTGGGGCTAGCTAAACGGCCGCGAGCACGCTATGAGCGTGGTGTGTTGTCATGTTCTTACATGACACGCGTGTCAGGATTATCATGTTTGCACCAGGCATATATACCGTCATCCATTGCCGTCAGGTAACACGAAAGGCGGTATATGTGGAGCTAGCAAAACGGCCGCGAGCGCATCATAAAGAGCCCAATATACCCCGATGTAGCGTTGACGCGCGCCCACGCTGGGCATAGCGACGCTACGTTAGCAAAACGTGAGCACTCTTTAGTCTGACGCCAGGCGCGACAAGCGTCCGCCGACGCGGCCCGACGGCAACCAGCACGAAATGTGACATGCTGCATTTTGCGCCGATGCGATGACGGGGTCACGCCGGACGCGCTGAAACACGCATGCGTCAAAGCAACGCAGCGCGGCGCGCGCCTGCGAGTATATGGCGGAACCGGCGTATGGCGTGGAAACGCCGGCTTGACGCGACGAAATGAACGCCAGCGAGCCCGCACACCGCGTCATGTCAAAATGCATTAGCGCCTTGACTTTGGCATGTAGTCATGTTCTCACATCATACGCATCTCATTATTATTAAGTTTGCACCAATCACATACCTTCGTCATTCGTTGGCGCCACGTAATACTAAATTTGGCACATATGAATCTAGCGAAACGGCCGCGAGCGCATCATGAGTGTGGCATGTAGTCATGTTGTTACATGACACGCATGTTGTGATTATTATGTTTGCTTGTGTCATTTACCTGTGTTGTGAAATCGCAGAGTGTTATACCGAGTTTGGTACATGTGAAGCTAGCGAAACGGCCGCAGGCCCACCATAAGTATAGCGTGTAGTCATGTTGTTACAGGACACGCATCTCATGATTGTCATGTTAGCACCAGTCATATACCTTTGTCATCCATTCACGTCCCGTAATACCAAATTTGGTGTAAGTGAAGCTAGCGAAACCACCACCAGCGCCTCATGAGCGTGGCATGTAGTCATGTTGTTACAGACACGCATCTCATGATTGTCATGTTTGCAGCAGTCATATACTTTCGTCATCCATTCACGTACCGTAATACCAAATTTGGCATATGTGACGCTAGCGAAAGGTCCGCGAGCGCATCGTGAGCGTGGTAAGTAATCACATTGTTACAGGACAAGCATGTCATAATTCTCATGTTGGGGTTTGTCGCTTGTGTTAGCCTTGCAATCATGTCATACCATACCAGTTTTGCAACATGCAATGTGAACGAAACCACCGCCGGAGCTGCAGGACCTTGAAATGTAAATCATGACATTCATGAAATTCATGACATATACGTGAGATTTTCATGTTATGACTAGTCAAATGTGCTCCTAATACAGTCATGTTATGCCAGACCAAGTTTGGTATCGATACCATTATTCAAACGGCCAGGAGAGCTAAATGTCGTAGGCGGCTAGGTAGATAGATAGATAGATAGATAGATAGATAGATAGAGAGATAGATAGATAGATAGATAGATAGATAGATAGATAGATAGATAGATAGATAGATAGATAGATAGATAGATAGATAGATAGATTGGCTCAAAGTTGCGAAGCTCGCTAAGAAATGCTTCGCATTAAAAAATACCTTAAGGACAGCAGTAGGGCAGTGCGGCATACACAAAACTACAAGCTTGTACTCTAATAGTTGCATTTATGAAGTTGAAGATGTTATGGCGACGGTGAAGCAGGCAATAAACTTTCTTTTTATAAAAATTCAATTGGTGCAGATAGCGATATTATTGCATATCTGGGGGTGAAAAGTACATAGGTAAAGAAAGTGGTCTGGCTGACGCCAGGTAAAGCAACCTTCATTGTCAAAAGTAGAAGTCATAATTCGTCCTGTGCTGGTGATAGACTAACGGCAATGATTAAATTGCTAATATCATCATCATCATCATCATCAGCCTGGCTATGTCCACTGCAGGACAAAGGCCTCTACCATGTTCCGCCAGTTAACCCGGTCCTAATTGCTAATGTGTTTGACTATAAACATTGCTGCGTCACCAGCATCTTTATATTGTTACGCACAAGGAGGACCAGGACGTATACGCCTGAAGGGGCCGTTCATTTTGGGTGCGAAGAGAAGCGCCGGAGCGGCCAACAGGTTGATGATCACAGTGTCGTCATCTTGCTTCTTCCTCTAGCTTGGGGTAGCCAGCATGTTCACGCACTTCGTTTTCTTCCCAGGCATGCGCAACAATATGCAGGTTATTCGTTTGTTTTAATTTAGCATGCGCTAAGCGAACATGTTGACAAAAATTATGCAAGTTTAGGACTGAAGTTGAGGCAATAAGGATTTATCAGCGTATTTTAATTGTAATATTTTGAGTTAGTTGAGAGTCGTCATGTGTATTTCAATTTTTCTTCCTAAGGGTTCCTCAACCGATTTCTCTCGTGGGATGGATTCGTGCCGCTTGCACGAATCTCCTTCGGCGTGTACCTCATACACTTGCCATTCTACAACCTCATGCACCGAATAAGCAGAGAACGCCGGTTCTATTCTCACTTCACAATGGTGAGTACAGAACATTTGCAGGTAAAATGCCTTCATAAAAACAAAACACTTGCGATTTACCGTGCCGCAGGATTACCAACATGAAACAATTCGGCAGATCCCACGTACCTGGGAATCAACTTTATGCTAAGCACGCGAAGGGAAGGTGACCGTGTTGCATTTTTTTATTGAGAGACAAGTCATAAAATGATGCTAAGTGTATGTTTAAATCTTGCACGCAGAGACATATGTTGATGAGAACATGTGTGTTGAAGGTTTGCGGATGTTTGTATAACCATTTTTCTACTTGCACAACGATGTCACCTGGAAATGTGCTTTAGCAACACCAGATGCTGAAATTAAGCGCTGATGCTCGCGAAGATCCTGGCCCTTGACACGGCTACATAAATCAATTTCAGCGTACGGCACCTCACCACAATATACGTTAACCCAACGTGACAGCTTTATGAAAGCAGTACATATGTAATTTTTATAAAATTGCGTAGGCAGCACTGCAACCAATATTGACGTTTCACGAAGATGCGCGTTTATTTGTAAAGTAGTTGCGGGACCTGGCGTAGCTTTGTAGTAGAATGCTTGACTGCCACGCAGAATGCTTGGGTTTGACTCCTGCTGGGACCCTGTAATTCATAATTTGCATTCGTCGGGTGGCCAACGCTGCCTATGTCAGGTTTTCCTTAACACTGACATTTATTCTATGCCTTCGTTGGGTCGATGCTACCGATGTCGGGTATTGCTTTACGCTCACGCGTTAAAATTGCCCATGTGTGGTCTCGTCATTCCTGCGTACGTACTAAGTGTCTATCACCTGTGGCACATACCCGCTTACCAGCGGCACATACCCGCCCGTGAGTATGTGTCTGGCGGGAACTGTTCGACGACGTACGCGACGGGTTTGTGACAATATTCATGTCTTGACCAGCGCATCATATTCGTCAAACTATCTTACCCTTCCATGCTAATTTTGGTTCACGCCAAGTTAAGGGGATCACCACAAGAGCACCCAAACGTGAGCGTCTAAATATATATATATATATATATATATATATATATATATATATATATATATATATATATATATATATAGAAAGGTAGATACGCTCAAATTCGCCAAAGTTCGCTAAGAAATGCTTCGCATTTAAAATGTAACAGCTATTTGTTCATATAGAAGCAGCATGGGCGGACATTCTGACACAATGTTGGTCTGAGGTAGCGCCTCGCCGTGGTGGTACCAGCCGAGTACCTTGAGACTAAGGTACTCGGCTTCGGACCCGCATGTCGGGTGACGGGATCCTTACTGCCACTCGATTGTTATGTGGGATTTTTGAGGCACTGTTGTGGTGGTCCAGTGGCTAAGGTACTCGGCTGCCGACCCACAGGCCGCGGGATCGAATCCCGGCTGCGGCGGTGGCATTTTCAATGGAGGCAAAAATGCTGTAGGCCCGAGTGCTGAGGTTTGGGTGCATGTTAAAGAACCCCAGGTGGTCAAAATTTCCAGATTCCTCCACTACAGCGTCTCTCAAAATCATAGAGTGGTTTTGGAACGTTAAACCTCACATATCAATCATGCATCTGAGGTAGCAGAGAAATAATCGTCTCTCAAGATTTACGTATACCTCCAGTGACTCTGCGATAGCGCTCCCGATATCGGAGACATGCACCGAAGCCGTGGGGGCCGGGCTGGATGCTGACGAGGTGGATGCTGGGCTGATCGATGCGCAGTGTGTGTCGCCACACACTATTGTAAAAACACACCGTACAATCAGAATGTGTACTATGTTGTGTTTATTTTGTTGGTGAAAATAAATCGAGCTTCTGCTACATTCATTAAGATCTCTGCAGCCGTGTATGATACCTGCAACATCAATCAGGATGCAGTCATCGCTACCTAATGTGCATTTGAAGGCGGGTACATTGTAGCACAAGTAGGAGCGTATAAAATATGGTGTTTATAATTTCAGGAAGCCAAAGTGTTCAAAATAAATTGCAGTTCCTCACCGCAGCATTTACCTTACTTCGATAGTCATTTTTAAAGGTTAGGCACAAAAATTTAGTATTTAGGGCTCCGTCATCACGTGACTGACCATTTTTTGAACTATCGCACTTCATTTTTCTAGATAGCGATCGTTACTTGTCTCTGTGATGTGTGATTAGTTCTACTTTTTTAACTAAAATGTTCTTTTATCCAATTGACTATATTTGGTATTTGCTCTAGAAGAGAACATTGACCTTGCTATTTTGCACATCAAATATATAAATGCGAGAAATGAAGCTCGTGAAGATTATCCCCAAAAGAAAGGGAATGACCCTAAAAAGTAAGTGAGGATGAATGTCGAACTGATTACGTGTGTCTTGTTCTCGAGTAGGGGAGACATTTAGAGACCCTGAACGACTTTTCTAAGTGATGTAGAATCAGCGTATATCAGAGATGGTTGCCTCACGATTGTGTCAAGAACAAGCGGTTGCTATAGAATAACGTATCATAATGAGCGGTGTCACAGACACTGGTTAGGGCAGCAAGGAGACGGCGCAACTGGCACGGAACACAAAAACTTATTCTAACACAAAAATTCAAAATCAACACAAATGCAAGAGTACATTATTATTACGCAAAACGTCATTATAATCTTAACTGAGTTGAGCGAAAAAATGGAATGACACAAGGTTAGGATAAATTACTAACTCGCCCAGCACTCTGTCCTTCTCACGTCTTTATAAGTCACTTCAAGCTAACTAGGCACTCAAGTTTTGTGGCTCGACGAAGCAACCAAGATGGCGTCAATGCTGTCGGGGGAAAGGGGCCAGGTGGGTTGTCACACGTATTTTGCCTGCTAGGTGTCCGAGCAAAAGGCACGTTCATTGCGGAGTTCTTCAGGCGTTGACGTCTAACGAGGTACTTCCGACACTGTTGCCTTTTCGAATTTGGACATCCGGCCAGGCCAACGCATCTTCTTCGCTTCCACTTGTGTATCGTCTTCTTCTTTCATCTTTTTTCTCGCGCCATGTGTGCACAGGCAGCAGGGCGTCTTGATTGAGTTGTCAAATGTTGTTACGGCCGGATGCATGCGAGTGCGCTTGTGCCACAGTTTTAACGTCGTCGTTGTTTTGGCATCGGGTACTTCATGAGAGCGGCGTTACAGAGATTAGCCAGGTCGTTTAAGAGCACTATAATTCTCCGCCGTGATAACCGCGCCAATAGAAGCGACGTAGAGACGGACGACATCAGGGGAAAAAGTTGCCCACTACGCTTTCACTATTGCTCTCACCTCATGACTCGAGTGTGGAGGCGTGCCACCTTGCAGCACCACTCGCAGCCTCTTTGTCCTCGGCTGTCATGGCCATGTCTACCAGCGAGGGACTTCCTCTTTGCAGCAAGCAGCAACAGCATCTTCTCTCCTCTCACAACTCCACCGGCCACCGAGCAAATAGCGCCCTCCCCAAACGCACATGCATTCAGTACCACTCGCACCCTCAACCGAACCTCGCTATCAAAGACAATGATCCTGGTTTTTGCTTGGGCTTGCGGGATTCTCTCGTCACACCATCTTATGTCATCTGCATCCCCGGCCATACGACCGTCTTGTTTAGAGAGCCGGCTGGAGTTCTGAATATGCATTTTTATGCAGTTTCTGCCCATCAAAGGGCAGAAACTGCATAAAAAAACTGAAGGAGATATACTATGGATAGTGAAAAATAGATAAGAATATAGAAGACACAGTGACAGAACAAGGCGATAGGAAAGTTGGAAGCCGGTCAAAGAAGTCCGAGGACGGAGGAGAACACAGCGAGAGGTTCACGATGCCAGCACTCACTCCTGGAGCATTTGTTGGAGTTTCTCGGAAGATTTCAAAATGAATGACTCTGCAGCCCGCGATATCTGACGCTAGCGTAGCTTTCACTGACTGGTTTGCCTTTCGCGGCCTGTCCCTGCCAGCGAGCAAAAGGAAAGTGCCAACTGGCTCTTTGTCCTCGACTGCCATGGCCATGTCTACCAGCGAGGGACTTCCTCTTTGCAGCAAGCAGCAACAGCATCTTCTCTCCTCTCACAACTCCACCGGCCACCGAGCAAATAGCGCCCTCCCCAAACGCACATGCATTCAGTACCACTCGCACCCTCAACCGAACCTCGCTATCAAAGACAATTATCCTGGTTTTTGCTTGGGCTTGCGGGATTCTCTCGTCACACCATCTTATGTCATCTGCATCCCCGGCCATACGACCGTCTTGTTTAGAGAGCCAGCTGGAGTTCTGAATATGCATTTTTATGCAGTTTCTGCCCATCAAAGGGCAGAAACTGCATAAAAAAACTGAAGGAGATATACTATGGATAGTGAAAAATAGATAAGAATATAGAAGACACAGTGACAGAACAAGGCGATAGGAAAGTTGGAAGCCGGTCAAAGAAGTCCGAGGACGGAGGAGAACACAGCGAGAGGTTCACGATGCCAGCACTCACTCCTGGAGCATTTGTTGGAGTTTCTCGGAAGATTTCAAAATGAATGACTCTGCAGCCCGCGATATCTGACGCTAGCGTAGCTTTCACTGACTGGTTTGCCTTTCGCGGCCTGTCCCTGCCAGCGAGCAAAAGGAAAGTGCCAACTGGCTCTTTGTCCTCGACTGCCATGGCCATGTCTACCAGCGAGGGACTTCCTCCTTGCAGCAAGCAGCAACAGCATCTTCTCTCCTCTCACAACTCCACCGGCCACCGAGCAAATAGCGCCGTCCCCAAACGCACGTGCATTCAGCACCACTCGCACCCTCAATCGAACCACCCAGATCTCCAAGCCTGTGGAGATTTAATAGTGAACGCCCTGACAGCCGCCATCATCTTCCGACCCGTCGGGAAGAACGCCAGCTTTTGGTCGCCTCAAAGGACTCTATGACCGCGTTCTTTTTGATTTTCCCGCTGCCCGACGCGTTCGGGTAAACTTCGAGAGCAACACGGTTGCAGTTGATACCGACCCCACTACCGATCCAACCGCCATCGAGACTATCTGCGA